AAGGTGTAGAGAAGTGTTATTTATACTGTGTTTTAAACTGTGTTTATGCTTTACATTGTAGCCATGACCTAGCTGAGAGAGATAGGTTGCCATGGTGACGGGCCAGAGGAGGTGGGCGGAGCTTAAGTAGGAAAGGTTTGAAAACGACAGTTTAAAATCAGTCAGGCGGATGAGACCCTGAAGGACAGAGTCAAAGGGGACTCTGGGATAATAGTTCAGTCAGGGGAATGAAACCCTGAGGGGCAGAGTCAGTTGAGGCTCTGTGGTGTAGTGTAAATACAGCCAGTTCTTAGGATTTGTGAATATTATTCCAGCTAGGAAGCTGGAGGTGAAACCTCGTTAGATTGCTTGAGTAAAGAAAGAATCTAACAAGAAAGAGGTTTAGGGATCCCAGTGGTGAATGGCTGGAGATCGCTAGTTTGATCCTGTGTAGGACAAACAGTTGTAAATATTCACAATAGGGAACTGAAATATTAAAGCACCTCATTGTAGAAGAAGTCAAAGAATTGTAACATCACCTGAATGTATCTCAACTAAGCCATATTTGTAACCATCAAGCTTGTGCCAAGTTCAACAGTTAATATTGCAACAGTTACGCTCCGACAATAAATCTGTTCTCTTTGTGTTTTAAAACCTGCCTCATCCATTGATTTCAACGTTTTGCACAATCCACACTACCAAAGTGGCCTCACAACCCAGATAAGAAGAAACAGAGATTATATTACCAATATCTCTTTATATTAGGGTGGCAGCTTAAACTAGAAGTCTCAAATTCTCATTACATTGGTGTGGTGATCCTATTTAGTTGGGATTTCACGCCATTATTTTATTTTTGGAGACTACTTCACATATTTTGGTGGCAGCAAGTGAACGGCTTCGAATTGTAGTAACGAGCGGTGGGGACGCGGCTGGGCATGTTTAGCCTGAAGAAGAGAAGGCTGAGAGGAGATATGATAGCCATGTATAAATATGTGAGAGGAAGCCACAGGGAGGAAGGAGCAAGCTTGTTTTATGCTTCCCTGGAGACTAGGACACGGAACAATGGCTTCAAACTACAAGAGAGGAGATTCCATCTGAACATGAGGAAGAACTTCCTGACTGTGAGAGCCGTTCAGCAGTGGACCTCTCTGCCCCGGAGTGTGGTGGAGGCTCCTTCTTTGGAAGCTTTTAAACAGAGGCTGGATGGCCATCTGTCAGGGGTGATTTGAATGCAATATTCCTGCTTCTTGGCAGGGGGTTGGACTGGATGGCCCATGAGTCTCTTCCAACTCTTTGATTCTATGATTCTATGAACAACCGGCAAAATCCGGGACAACTTATCAACTGGCCCCTGTAGGTGGCATTGGTGCTTTCCCCTCTTCACGGATTGGCCTTCAGCTTATCCAGAAGTCATATAAAAATCTCTAATTTTGGCTCCAAACCTGCTCTTGACTTACACATGAAGCATATATGGTAGTTAGGTTATTTCCTTGTGTATACCCCTCATCACCTCAATATTTTTTAGTGCTTATAGTTAGAGCTATGTATATAAAATGTCCCATTCCTTCCAGTTGATTATATAGTGTAATGTAACTGTATGCATGCAGATGTGACAAGAAAACATTTTTTTGCTTCAGAACTTAACTGTATTCATATTTGCTGATTGAACAAAAATACAACAAAATACATCAACAATGGTTGATACCAGTTCTATGAGGGTAATTCTATTTTTCTTTCACTGACCTAGAGAGGGCCAAAATAGTTTAAACATGTGGGGTATTTAGAGACATTTACTTGTGGGGTGGGATGAGACAGTGGCTCAGCCCACCAAGCTCCACTAAATTGCCTCCACTCTATATCATTTAAACTCTTCTGCAGCCTGGTTCTGTATTACTGGAGCTGACAGATTTTTATTAATGGAAAACTGCTTCTGCGTTGATTAATAAAGCTGCTATTCATATACTGGCAGTGGCTTGGACTAAATGATATCTTCCAGTTCTGTGACCAATATTCAATTACTGTCAGGTTCTACAATGTATTGTAATGTAATATAGCTGAGTCATGCACTGCTAATAGGCTTCTATTGGAAATGCTGAGTCATGCATTAACTGTATATAGGGAATCATTTGGGGAATGTGTTCTGGCCTAGTCCAGGTGATTGTGAATGATGTAATCCTGGGTTTGAGTTAAGTTAATGAGTTGGGAACCAATCATATTGTTTAGAAACAAAATGAAACACAAAGAAAATCATAAACGCAGACCGTTGCAAACAGCTTTCAGACTCTAACATACCTGGATCTGAGTTACAGTTCCTTCATTATCCTCATTGTCAGCTACTTCAGTGGTAGCAGTCATAGTCACCTCAAAGCTCTGGTCACTTTCTGAAACTTAAACAAAAAGTAAACCTGTGATTAATACAGTGCTTTCATCTCGGTTACCAGCATTGCACATTATACATATATTAAAACCTTCATTCCTTAATGAGTAAGCCTGAAGATTATGATAAGATTTTATTTTGTATAGCCATGCACGCTATGGCTTTTTTAAAAATTAAAATTCATATGTTTCAAATTTATATAGTCGTATTACGATCCTAATATAATTTAAAAGAACAATCAGATTATGCAAGCTGACTAAAATTAGGATGCAAAAGAAACTATTCCTATTTACACAAGATACTTTTTTAAAAAGTCAGCTCCAGCAGGTGAAGACCTTGTTTGAGCCATTCCTGCTTGGAACCACAGAAGGTTCTTTAAAAAACAGGGTAGCTTCTCCCAGCACAATCCTGCAGGGTTAGATGTGCATTCGCCGTAATTCAGTAGGAGACTTCAGGCACATGCATACACACGTCAGTCTTTTTTTTAGCAGAGCCTAATCTTTCCAGAGGGCCATAGGGAAGGCTGAGCGAAGGAAGATAGATGCTTTTAAACTTTGGTGCTGGAGGAAAGTTCTGAGAGTGCCTTGGACCGCGAGAAGATCCAACCAGTCCATCCTCCAGGAAATAAAGCCCAACTGACAAATGCAAGATACTCTACTTTGGCAGGAAAAACAAAATGCAAAGATATAGAATGGGGGACAATGCCTGGCTTGAGAGCAGTATGTGTGAAAAAGATCTTGGAGTCCTCGTGGACAACAAGTTAAACATGAGCCAACTATGTGATGTGGCGGCAAAAAAAGCCAATGGGATTTTGGCCTGCATCAATAGGAGCATAGTGTCTAGATCTAGGGAAGTAATGCTACCCCTCTATTCTGCTTTCGTTAGACCACACCTGGAATATTGTGTCCAATTCTGGGCACCACAATTCAAGAGAGATATTGACAAGCTGGAATGTGTCCAGAGGAGGGACTAAAATGATCAAGGGTCTGGAGAACAAGCCCTATGAGGAGCGGCTTAAGGAGCTGGGCATGTTTAGCCTGAAGAAGAGAAGGCTGAGAGGAGATATGATAGCCATGTATAAATATGTGAGGAAGCCACAGGGAGGAGGGAGCAAGCTTGTTTTCTGCTTCCCTGGAGACTAGGACACGAAACAATGGCTTCAAACTACAAGAAAGGAGATTCCACCTGAACATGAGGAAGAACTTCCTGACTGTGAGAGCCGTTCAGCAGTGGAACTCTCTGCCCAGGAGTGTGGTGGAGGCTCCTTCTTTGGAAGCTTTTAAACAGAGGCTGGATGGCCATCTGTCAGGGGTGATTTGATTGCAATATTCCTGCTTCTTGGCAGGGGGTTGGATTGGATGGCCCATGAGGTCTCTTCCAACTCTTTGATTCTATGATTCTATGACTGCTCATTGGAGAGAAGAATAGTAGAGGCCAAGATGAAGTACTTTGGCCACATCATGAGAAGACTGGAAATCTTAGAGAAGACAATGATGCTGGGGACAATGGAAAGAAAAAGGAAGAGGGGCCGACCAAGGGCAAGATGGATGGATGGCATCCTTGAAGTGACTGGATTGACCTTGAAGGAGCTGGGGGTGGTGACGGCTGACAGGGAGCTCTAGCGTGGGCTGGTGTGTGAGGTCACGAAGAGTCGGAAACGACTGAATGAATGAACAAGTAGGTGAAGACCTTGTTTGAGCCATTCCTTCTTGAAATCACAGAAGGTTCTTTAGAAAACAGGGTAGCTTCTCCCAGCACGATCCTGCAGGGTTTGATGTATATTTGCCGTAATTCAGTAGGGGACTTCAGGCACATACATACACATGTCAGTCTTTTTTTTTTTTTTTTAAGCAGTGCCTAATCTTTTCAGAATAAATGTGATGAAGACCTGGAGACCATTATTTCCCAAAGACCACTGTCAAGACCTTTCTCACCACTTGAAAGAGGTTTTACAAAAGATGGTGCAGCCTACCAAACAATCTCAACCTGAACAACCTCAACCCATGTAGATGGTAATCCTGATTTTTTTTTGCCTCATCTTTCATAAAGAGGCTGAGGGACTCTTCAAAGACCGTGTTCTCCTAAGTGAGATTTCCGATTGTTAACATTCGTCCACCAGATCTATTGTCATGGCTACTTTCTTCAGACCAGACATAAAAATATTTACATGAGCTTCTGCAAGCTACTTATGACCAGCAGCAAAGGAAGCATCTCCATTTCCTGTTTTCATAAGGTTCCAGACAAGTTTCCACTAGAATCATTCCTATCAACACCACGGTAGACAAAACTTCTTTCTTTAGCTTAGCCACTACTGAATTGTTAGAAACTGACCCCTCCCCTTGCTAAAAGTGGGAACACCAACATTTTTTTATAAGTGTACTAGCCGTCCCCTGCCACGCGTTGCTGTGGCCCACATGGGGGTTCTGTGTGGGAGGTTTGGCCCAATTCTATCATTGGTGGGGTTCAGAATGCTCTTTGATTATAGGTGAACTATAAATCCCAGCAACTACAACTCCCAAATGTCAAGATTCTATTTTCCCCAAACTCCACCTGTGTTCACATTTGGTCATATTGAGTATTCGTGTAGAGTTTGGTCCAGATCCAACATTGTTTGAGTCCACAGTGCTCTCTGGGTGTAGGTGAACTACAACTCCAAAACCAAAGGACACTGCCCACCAAACCCTTCCAGTATTTTCTGTTGGTCATGGGAGAACTGTGTGAGAAGTTTGGTTCAATTTCATCGTTGGTGGGGTTCAGAATGCTCTTTGATTGTAGGTGAACTATCAATCCCAGCAACTACAACTCCCAAATGACAAAATCATTTTTTTTGAGTGAAGGACATACATTGGGTTGTTACGTGTCTTGTGTCCAAATTTGGTGTCAATTCGTCCAGTGGTTTTTGAATTCTCTTAATATCACAAACGAACACTACATTTTTATTTATATAGATTTATGATTAGGTTCCTCCAATTAGCAGTGACTTACTTGGAACCGCAACAACAGAAATGCAAGGGGTTGTATCATCCATACTCTGGTCATCTTCAGATGATAAGCAAAGCCTTTTGTGAGGAGGTTCGATGCTGTCTTCAGAATCTATTTCATCTGCCTCTGGATATACACACACGGGAAAGAATGACGCCAGTGAAAGTAATAAAGGATTTGCTGTGTATATTTTGTTCAAATATTTATTGCAAAGTAATGTATGTACATTCAAATATCTTCTATAGCAAGGCAACTGAGGCCTTTAGAAATGTGTTTATTGGGAGATGCCAATTTCGTAAATTCTTTGCTTTCAGAAAAATGGTATTTTCTACAATTGGCCCAGTCTAATTCATGCATACATCCAAACACTGGTTCCTAACAGAAAAAAGCCTACTATTTTGTTGTATTCCGCAAATAAGGAACACCTCGCCCATTAATGGTTTCTATTACAATGGACATTGTATCATGCTATTAAACCTCCCTGAGTCCCCCCTCGGGGGTGAGAAGGGTGGGGTACAAATGTATGAAATAAATAAATAAACTACATATATTTCAAATAATATGCCAGTAATTCTGAAACCCAAATGGATTCCCTGCCAAAAGAGCTAGGTGAAAAGACCTGGATGTATCTGGGTGCATGCTCCACAATAACTATTTTAAAATTACATTCCTTTAGGTCAATGTTTCTCAACCTAGAGGTCAGGACCCCGGGGGGGGGGGGTCACGAGGGGTTACCAAAGACCATCAGAAAACACAGTATTTTTATTTATTCTGTTGGTCTTGGGAGGGGGGGGTTCTGTGTAGGAAGTTTGGCCCAATTCTATTGTTGGTTGGGTTCAGAATGCTTTTTTTTTAAAATTATAATTTTTATTCTGAAGAAAAAAAATCTGTCGTGATACAATAAAAGAGGGGAAACATTTCATGAGTATAGAAAAGTGGGAAATAAAGAAATAAACTCATTTCTGAAAGAAGAAGAGAGAAAAAAAGAAAAGAAAAAAAATCCTAAAATAGAGTGGAACAGAAATTTGATACTTCCTATCTTCCCTTTGAAGAATTAATATCTAAGGTAAAGGTAAAATAGAGTTATTTATATAGTGCCAGTCCTTTTAAAGTTTGAATTCAATCATTCTGTGTATTTCATATAATAGCTTCTTCTACTATTATTTCCAGATTTTCGTTTTTCAAAAAACATTTCAGGGGTGTCCAGTCCGTTTTCTTTTGGGGATTTGGGGAGTGACATGAGATTTGATATGTCAATATGTCCAAGTTCATTATATCTAAATAGTCTTAGTACCCATAGTGTTCTGGTTGGAGTGATTTCTTGTTTCCATAGTTTTGCATACGTTAATCTTGCTGCTGTCATCATGTAGGTCAAAAGTTTGTCTTGGTTTTGGTCTAAAACAAAGTCAAACATACCTAATAAAAAGTATTCTGGTTTGTACTTAAATCTTATTTTCAAAACTTGTTGTATTGTTTTATGAATATCCTTCCAGAAAACTCTGGCTTTTACACAATTCCACCACATATGTAGAACAAAACCAGTGTGTGCTTTGCATTTCCAGCATCTACTGTTACTGTTTTTTTTTTTAATTTAGACAATTTTTGTGGAGTTAAATACCACTGGTAAAACATTTTTAATCCCGTTTTCTTTTAAGTCCATTGAATAAGTATATTTTAGTTTTTTGCTCCATGTTTCTTCCCACTTGTCTAGTTGTATAACATGGCCTACGTCAGGTCGGGTTCAGAATGCTCTTTGATTGTAGGTGAACTATAAATCCCAGCAACTTCAACTCCCAAATGTTAACTCTATTTTCCCCAAACTCCACCAGTATTCACATTTGGGCACATTAAATATTTGTGCCAAGTTTGGTCCAGATCCATCATTGTTTGAGTCCACAATGCTCTCTGGAGATAGGTTAACTACAACTCCAAAACTCAAGGTCAATGCCCACCAAATCCTTGCAGCATTTACTGTTGGTCATGGGAGTTTTGTGTGCCAAGTTTGGCTCAATTCCATCGTTGGTGGAATTCAGAATGCTCTTTGATTGTAGGTGAACAATAAATCCCAGCAACAACTCCCAAATGATAAAATAAATCCCCACCAACCCCACTAGAATTGAAATTTGGGCATATTAGGTATTCGTGCCAAATTTGGTCCAGTGAATGAAAATGCATTCTGCATTTTGGATATTTACATTACAATTCACAACAGCACCAAAATTAGTTATGAAGTAGTAACAAAAATAATTTTATGGTTGGGGGTCACCATAACATGAGGAACTGTATTAAGGGGCCGCGGCATTAGGAAGGTTGAGAAACATGACATTAGGCAATCCTACACTAATTTCCTAGCCAAAAATTTCAGAAGGCACCCACAGTTCAAGAAGTATAATGAAGACCCGTTGGGCATCGTCACTATTCTACCTGGGGAAATGTAATTAATGAGGCCAACCTGTCTTTTAAGGGACAACTAGAGTAGAAAGTACATGCAGATAATCTACTGTTCAATCCTTGGTAATTCTGGCTTAGAAGGTTAGGAGATACAACCTAAAACCCCATACAAGGCATTTCCAACATGCCATCTAATGTGCATTGAAATCCAACTCAGTAGTGCCATTCTGGAGGATCTGTGTCAGGTTTTACAATGTATTGTAATGTAATATAGCTGAGTCATGCACTGCTAATAGGCTTCTATTGGAAATGCTGAGTCATGCATTAACTGTATATAGAACTTCATTTGGGGAATGTGTTCTGGCCTAGTCCAGGTGATTGTGAATGATGTAATCCTGGGTTTGAGTTAAGTCAATGAGTTGGGAACCACTCAGAGATTGCTATGTGTAATTGTATAGAATTGTATATAAGGAAGTCATGTAGAGTGTATACTCTCTTCTTGTGCTGTGATGCTGTTCGTCGAAGGCTCTATGTAATTGATTAAAAGAACCTGTCTGCTAAGACAAGATATAACTGTGTGCTGTGGTAAGTTTGTAATGTCATCTAGACTGGGGGAAAGACAATGGTAAAACTGACAATGGCCGGGCATGTGCTCAAGTGTCTGTAAAAGAGTTCCAGAGTGACTGCAGTTTGTGGGAGCAGTTGACTGAAAATACTGTGCAGGAAGAAGCTACTGGAAAACGCTGAAGTTGTGCAACTGATCTGCTGCTGAATTGTGAAATTAATCTTAACAATCTGTCTTGAATATCAGCTAAGAAATACATTCATTCATTGCTGGGCTACATGGAGAAAAAATCTGATTCGATCTAGGGCAGCTTCTTAGATTCCAAAAGAATGATCATTAATTTTCTTAAGTTCCACTTTTCCACAAATTTTCAAGGAACTCTGAAGTTCCCCAGAGCAGCCTGAAAGCAATAGTACTGTTCTACAATAAAGACTCTTGCACAAATCACAGCATCAAAATCTCCAAAGAAAATCCCACCAAATTGGATGTGCTGGTTAATTTTAATTGGAAATAACATGGGGAAGGAATACAATAAAAAAGTTGTCTATACCATCTTGAGGGCAGTGAAGAATAAGGTTCCCTTCAGTATCTTGGGTCAAAGTCACAGAATTCACGGTTTCTACTGTCACTGTGTCAGACTCTTCTTCAACTGTGCTCATACTCAAATCTAAATGGGAAGAAATAACATATCAGATTTTTTAAATTTTAAAGTTGTTGTTCTAGCATTCCAACCACATTTTTGTGGTGAGGTGGTGTATCTTATATACTTATCCTGATGTCAATATGATATTTTTACAGTATTAACATAGTGCGACCCAAATTATGAATGGCAAGTAAAAACAGAATCTGTGCTGGTACGACTGTACCTGGAGCTCCCACTTTATTTGCTTTGTATTATATGTTTGCTTGCAGTCCAGGGTTTCAGGGACTCTGCAGATAGGTGGCTTCCTTTGGTTGCAGTGATAGGGCAAGCCACCTGTCCATCATCGTTAAGTTTTGGTTCTGCCCCTTACTCAGGGAAATTGGGAAGGGAGCCATTTTTAGTTAGTCTTAGCAAGGAAAGCTATGTACAGGACGTGTACAAGCTTCCCCTGTACAAAAGCTTCAACTTTTAAGAATTTCCAGGGAAGCATCCCCAAAGCTTTGAAGAATCTCCAAGGAAACAGCCCTAAAGACCAAAGAACTCCAGCTGGAGAATATTTAAACCTTTGCTGGTAGGTCCACTCGGTGCTTTGAGACGCAGTTCAACCCGGTAGTGGTGCCCACATCAGTTAGGTTTAAGTTCACAGTCAGCCTGGGAGAAGTTAAAAAGGGGATTTTTCATTTAAAGTAAAGAAGAAGTTATTGAAGACAGTTGCCTGTCCTTCATGGGCAAGATTAGGAATTCACCAGTTACCTAAAAGCTTGGAATCATTTGCTTATCTTTACTAAAGACAAGAGAAGTTTCTGTTTGATTGTTCATTAATAAAATACTTTGTTATACTTCACAAGCCATCTAAAGATAATTTGTGTTGGAAAACCTCTGAGAACTTCTCTTCGGGCCCCCTGACTTCCCGCTGGGCAAAGGTTGCACATCCTGTTCTAAAGGAAATTCTTTACAGGCCCAGCACGCGACAGAACAGAATCTTATAGTTGACTAGCCATCCCCTGCCACGCGTTGCTCTGGCCCAGTGTAGTGAAAATAAAGTAATGAGAAAGTATTCGTTTCTAATATATGTAATTTCTTTCTGCTTGTGGGTAAACAGTATTTCTTGCTGTTTCTTTGTCAGTGGTGATGTGAAGTTTGTTTGGTTTGCCTATTCTGGGACATGGCAACATATAATTGTCCTTCTTTAGGGGTCCCTTTCAAATCTATGATACTATATGATACTGTGTGTGTGAATCATATCTATCTATATCTATGGCTGGATGGCTCTTTGTCAGGAGGGCTTTGTTTACATTTTCTTGCCCTGGTGAAGGGAGTTGGACTGGATGGCCTTAAGTATTTTCTGTTGGTCATGGGGGTTCTGTGTGGGAAGTTTGGCCCAATTCTGTCATTGGTGGGGTTCAGAATGTTCTTTGATTGTAAGTGAACTATAAATCCCAGGAACTAAAACTCCCAAATATCAAGGTCTATTTCCCCCAAACTTCATCTGTCTTCATATTGGGCATATGGAATATTCGTACCAAGTTTGGTCGTGATCCTTCATTGTTTAAGCCCACAGAGCTCTCTGGATGTAGGTGAACTAGAATTCCCAAACTCAAGGTCAATGCCTACCAACCCTTATTGTTTTTTCTGTTGGTTATGGGAGTTCTGTGTGCCACGTTTGGTTCACTTCCATCATTGGTGGAGTTCAGAATGCTCTTTGGTTGTAGGTGAACTATAAATCCCAGCAACTACAATGTGAGTGCTGTCCATAACTCTTATAAAAAAGGAACCATTCACTTCTCTGAGTGAAATAGCAAAAGCGTAATCCTTCTCAGAAGTATCTCAAAGAAGCACTGGTTCCCAGCAATATCTCCTGACCTTTATGAATGCCTGAGGCAATGATGATGGCAGCCAAGGGCAGATTGGAAAAAACCCAGAAAAAATGAAAAAATGGGGAAAAACCGGGCCTTTCTATCTCTAATTGGTACTTTATTCTCTCTCTGTGGAATGTCCTCTGACTTATCCACAGGTCATTTCAACATCCATAATTTTGACACCATAACCTGCCACTGACTTATACATGAAGCTGACTTACACATGAGTAACTACTTATAGTGGCATGACATCAAATTTCCTATACTGCAATCACAGGGAACATGAAAGCTGACAACACAGGCCACATTTTAATGTTATCATATCTTACAGAGGCAACGTCTGAACTCTTTCTCAAGAGTGAAATACTCAAGGCACAATTGCAAACTGTGCCAACAAAGGGAAAAAATAGGGCAAGTGCAAAGAAGCCAGAATGGATGTCCAAAGAACTTCTAACTGTGCTAAAACACAAAAGAGGCATGCACAAGAAGTGGAAAAAGGGAGAAATCACCAAAGAAGAATTCAAACAAATAGCCAACACCTGTAGGGAAAAGATCCGCAAGGCTAAAGCACAAAACGAGCTCAGGCTTGCCAGGGACATTAAAAACAATAAAAAGGGCTTCTTTTCTTATGTCAGTAGAAAAATGAAAAACAAGGAGGTGATAGGGCCTCTTCGAGGAGAAGATGGGGCAATGCCGACAGAGGGTAGGGAAAAGGCAGAACTATTTAACGCCTTCTTTGCCTCGGTCTTCTCACAAAAAGAAAGTCATTTCGGAACCATTGGCAACCATCTTTGAAAGTTCTTGGAGAACGGGAGAAGTTCCAGCAGATTGGAGGAGGGCCAATGTGGTCCCAATCTTCAAGAAGGGAAAAAAGGATGACCCAAACAACTACCGTCCGGTCAGCCTCACGTCAATACCAGGCAAGATTCTGGAAAAGATTGTTAAGGAAGTGGTCTGCAAACACTTAGAAACAAATGCGGTCATCGCTAATAGTCAACATGGATTTATCAAAAACAAGTCATGCCAGACTAATCTGATCTCTTTTTTCGATAGAGTTACAAGCTGGGCAGATGTGGGGAATGCCGTGGATGTAGCGTACCTGGATTTCAGTAAGGCCTTCGACAAGGTCCTTCATGACCTTCTGGCAAAAAAACTAGTTGAATGTGGTTAAATGGACGAACCCAGAGGGTGCTCACCAATGCTTCCTCTTCATCCTGGAAAGAAGTGACAAGTGGAGTGCCGCAGGGTTCCGTCCTGGGCCCGGTCCTGTTCAACATCTTTATTAATGACTTAGATGAAGGGCTAGACGGCATGATCATCAAGTTTGCAGACGACACCAAATTGGGAGGGATAGCCAATACTCCAGAGGACAGGAGCAGAAATTAGATTAGAGAGATGGGCCAAAACTACAAAATGAAGTTCAACAGTGACAAATGCAAGATACTCCACTTTGGCAGGAAAAACGAAATGCAAAGATACAAAATGGGAATGCCTGGCTCGAGAGCAGTACGTGTGAAAAAGATCTTGGAGTCCTCGTGGACAACAAGTTAAACATGAGCCAACAATGTGATGTGGCGGCAAAAAAAGCCAATGGGATTTTGGCCTGCATCAATAGGAGCATAGTGTCTAGATCTAGGGAAGTCATGCTACCCCTCTATTCTGCTTTGGTTAGACTACACCTGGAATATTGTGTCCAATTCTGGGCACCACAATTCAAGAGAGATATTGACAAGCTGGAATGTGTCCAGAGGAGGGCGACTAAAATGATCAAGGGTCTGGAGAACAAGCCCTATGAGGAGCGGTTTAAGGAGCTGAGCATGTTTAGCCTGAAGAAGAGAAGGCTGAGAGGAGATATGATAGCCATGTATAAATATGTGAGAGGAAGCCACAGGGAGGAGGGAGCAAGCTTGTTTTCTGCTTCCCTGGAGACTAGGACGCAAAACAATGGCTTCAAACTACAAGAAAGGAGATTCCATCTGAACATGAGGAAGAACTTCCTGACTGTGAGAGCCGTTCAGCAGTGGAACTCTCTGCCCCGGAGTGTGGTGGAGGCTCCTTCTTTGGAAGCTTTTAAACAGAGGCTGGATGGCCATCTGTCAGGGGTGATGTGAATGCAATATTCCTGCTTCTTGGCAGGGGGTTGGACTGGATGGCCCATGAGGTCTCTTCCAACACTATGTTCTATGATTCTTGTCTACATAAAAGGGGTGTGTTGATAAAGCACATAGCACCAAGCACAAAGGAACATATTTTTGGCAGAAAAGGAAAAAATAAAGAATTAAAAAAACACTGTGTAACAAAATTTGAAAAAAAAATCTGTTCCTGGTTTGAAAGTGTTATTCCTGTTTAATTGTGCAGTACTTACTTTGAAAGGAGTTGTTATACTCCAGAAACTTCGTTTTTGTGGCCGCCACAAACTATGTTGAATTGGTTGATACTCAATGAGATATTCGTTGAAAAACTACAGCAAAATTTGCTGCAAGATGTCCCGCAAAAACAAAGTTTTGGAAGTTTATTAAACTTTTCCCAGGTTTTTATGATAGAACCAATTAGGAAATGACATTGATAATCCAGGAACAAAAATCATGTTACATAGTGTAATTCATGTCTCCCTTTTTTCCATCTGGGAATCAAGGTCAAAACAGGTAAGAGATAAACATAATGCTGTGTGCCTTCAAGTAGTTTCTGACTTATGGCAACCCTAATATAACCCAAAATGTGCTGCAAAGTTTTTGCAGTTTAATACACTTTCCTCATGTTTTTATGATAGAACCAATTAGGAAATGACATTTATAACCCAGGAACAAAAAATTATGGGTACATCTACAACATTGACTTAATGCAGCTTGATCCCATTTTCAATGTGATTCCTCAATGTTATGAAATTATGAGAGTTGTATTTATTTATTTATTTATAACTTTTATATACCGGTCTTCTCGACTGAGAGGGACTCAGGCCGGTTTACAACATGATTCAAAAACAGTAGTTTAAAACATCACACCATAAAACACATTAATACATAAAACACATTAATACATAAAATACATTAAAAGCAATCATATAATTACATAAAGCCAAGTCGTCCAAAAGATATCACAATTCATTACCATCCGTCCGTGTGGCCAGAAGTTCTTGACTCACTCATCAAATGCCAAATTCCAGAG